TAATCAGTGACTATGACATATAGATTGGGTTGTCATTTGTATTATATGCAAGAGCTAATGTACTGTACCAGGCTCCCTAGAACTCATGGTTGTACTTATATTTGCTACATGTATAATTGTATCCCTGTTTCTTTTTATTAGATATGATTAATGTATGTCTTTTTTATGATTACTTGATACATCAAGAAATTGGCTGCTGAACCTGTGATGGGCACTGTTTGGATTATCCTATTGATTATTATTACCATTAAATTATTTATAATCTTTTGAAATATGTTATTGTCCATGGGATTGTCCCAGTGATGTATATACACATTTAAAGGATATACATTTAGAAACAATGAGTTTACATTAAAAACCTTTTGCCAGTGGTAATGCAAATGCAACTGTGTGTCATTGCAAATAAAAGTATTATGCAATTTTAGATTTATTATTATTAAAATCTGAAAGCTCCAGTAGGGATTAATGTTATTTCGGCAAGAGGCTTAAGAGTCTGTGTGAAAACCTGCATAGAAAAGAAAATTAATTACACTTCAGAGTCAGTGTGTCATCTTTTCCAATGGTTCAGCACCGTAAGTGCTGAGTTTGCACAATGCCATGAGAAAAAAAGAAGGACGTGGTAATTATAGTCCCAAAGCATCTTTATTGCTTGGAGACAAAATGCCACCAAGTAAAAAAAAAAAAAAAAACACACACGAATGGTGTCCGTGAGATCCCATCATGAAACATAAGAGAGCTGGGTAGCTCTCTCACCACAACAGATGCATGTTTTATCCAGTTTCATCCCGACCATTATAAAAGTATGCACCTACAGATTAAATTGAAGAAGAATTGTGGTGATAACTAGAAAAAACGAGAAGAAAAAAAAAACCTGTGGAGAGAATTAGTACTTCAAAGCAATAAGAATGGACTATCCCATAAAACAATATACAGTGCAGCTGTTACACTGTATATAATTGATGTTATTGAAACAATATTTTGTTACTCTTCTACCTTAGGGGACTAGATCGTATAGCCGTGTATGACCATTATTCTTTATGGGATACACCCATTGTTATTGTGATACTGGTTCCGTATCACTGACATCACACTCCAGATTAGGTCTTGGTGTGTGATATTTTTATTGTAGAATTAATATTTGGCTGACTTGAAGATCTAATTCTTGCCTTAAGTTAAAAAAATACTTCAGTATATATGGATGCAACTGTAACAGAAATCTATCAGAAAAAAATAGAATATACTAGGGAAATGCACTCCTGGGTTGGTGGTTTAAGAAAGAACAATTAGCCAGTCATCAAGTACTTAGCCCCTAGACAATGGCTTTGAAACAGAGAAATAAGTGGCCAAGTAAACTATATTTGGAAATGATATGGACAGATTTGTTTATGTAATGGAATGACGTTTCCTACAGTCATTTAAGGACTACAGTTGCCAAAACATACCTATTTTTAAAGTTGGATTATATTACTGACTGCTTTGTGACCCTTGCAACCCCCTTTAAACTTTTAAAACTTAGTCTAAATACCCCTTTTCTTACGTTATTTTCAGCGCTACCTCACAGATCTTGCAGCCGTCGTCTACATCTTCTGAGTGGTCATCGGGTCTGCTGACTCTCTTCGCTTTCCTCTAATGAATTTCCTCTCATAGGAAATTATTGCAGGTGAAAAGCGCATGCACATCCGGTGCAGCGCTCAGCCAATCAAACTTTTCTCATAGTGATTCATTGACTTCAATGAATCTCTATGGGAAACCTTTGAAGCGACACCGCGCATGTGCGAGGTATGTGCGTTCACGAGAATCGAACTGAGTGACATCTCAGCTTACTAGCCCATCTCCCATTCTAAACACAGCACCCAAACCGGCCCAGTATAACTTACTCTGCCTGACTTCTCAGAAGTCTAGGGAAGCAGCTTGCATATAAGTAAATATATTTATTTTAAAATTATAGTACAAATTATATTTATATATATATATATATATATACACATCAAGATATATATTAAATGAATTAAAAATAAATTTAAAAATATAATAAAATAGTACTTACTGTCAATGTGCAGCCAGATTCCTTTGGGGAAGATCCTCTTCAGCAGATTGCTTTGGTCAAAATCTTCTTCAGCACGCTGTCTTCAGTGAGAGATTCTCTCTCTCACACTGGCCTCTGAGGAATCCAACTGAGATGTGAACAAGGTCCAGCGCGTTCACAACTCACCATAGGCTATAATGCAGGTGCACTCACATCTGAGCTGCCTGTATTACACATGAATAATATTAGATGTCCTCTTGCAATGCATGAGGACATATAACATCAGTTAAGTGTAATCTGCTCAGTGATGATCGCGGAAGAATTGACTTGGAGAATTTTTCTAAGTCAGCTATTTTGGCCTAAATTTTGAATTTCACTTTGAATTCCTGGAAATAGCCCTGTTAAATTATATTGCACATTTTAGAGTGGCCTTTTATTGTGGCTTGCCTAAGGCACACCTGTGCAACAATCATGCTGTCTAATCAGCATCCTGATATGCCACACCTGTGAGGTGGATGGATTATCTCGGCAAAGGAGAAGTGCTCACTAACACAGATTTAGACAGATGTGTGAACAATATTTGAGAGAAATAGGCCTTTTGTGTCCATAGAAAAAGTCTTAGATCTTTGAGTTCAGCTCATGAAAAATGGGGGCAAAAACAAAAGTGTTGCGTTTATAATTTTGTTTAGTGTGTGTGTGTATATATATATATATATATATATATATATATATATATATATATATATATATATACACACACACTAAACAAAATTATTCCTCCATTTGGTTCACAGATCAAGTAAGGAAAAGTAATAGAGAAAAAAAGAAGAGGAGCATTAAACCACCTAAAGATAGTGTGTGAACCAAATGGAGGAAAAATGTGTCTTAAAGTGTACTGCAAAATATATACATACAAATACAGTACACTAAGTCGCTCACTTGCGCTGCTTAGACCATATTCACACTTTTTTCCTGAAATGTTTTCCCAAATACTTATTATGGACGATATTCAAATGCAGGGATTTTGCCATGTACAAGTCGGCAAGAACACAGAGAAGAAACTTTGGTATAAGGGTTATATGATATTCAGTGTGGACTGAGGTTTATTAGTAAAAACTCTGGTATAATCCCAAAAGGTTAGTTGTAACAGTGTTACTGGTAAGAGTTCATGCACACCTAATAACAGGTACTATTTATATTAACAAGCAAGTCCAAAGAATCACCTCAGCAGATATGACACTGTTAACGCTTTAAAAAAATCAGATTGCTTCCAATAGTATACAGACTACATAATATTGAAGCTTTAGTCTCTATTGAAAATAAACTGAACTACCACATTATTAATTGCTGAGAATCATAGGAAGAACAAAGTAGTGATAAATGCAATATCCAACACCCGATAAGATGATGAACAACAGAATTGGATAATGATCCAATTTGTAAATGATAAGATCGGGTCTGCAGTCCTAACTGCATTTTCTGGAAAGGAAGTAGTGCCTGGGTTATTAAAAGATATATGATAGAAGAAACAAATAAAATGAGTCTTATTTCCAAAGCTAGGGTCAATTGCTTAGAATAAGTCAGGAGTTATCAGAACACTTGCTTTTCGAACAGTGCACTTATAGTGAAGACCCAGGCCAATCTAAAGGCTGTAGAATTATATAGAGGACCTTTACTTATGCTGCTCAGGAAATTGCAATTCGGGGTTCAAATTTCCTGCAGTTATCTACTTTGTTTTTCTATAGATTTCCTTTCTTAGATAGAATTTGAAATTCAGAGGCTCTTTTTCTTGCAATTTTCAATTTTCAATAACAGAATTTTATATACGTCATGAAAGGGTTTTGGAGTACAATAATCAGGAGAGGTCGAAGATTGAAGTTGAGACAAAACCAAAACTAATTCCTTTTGTACACACCTATTCCACGAAATCTCGCCATATTACACAAATGATAAAAAAAATATTGGCATGTGTTAAGTGAGGATACAGACCTAAGGAGTATTTTTGGAACAGTTCCAATTATGGTTCTTAAGAAATCAAGAAATCTCAGGTAGGATCTAATGCATGCCAGAGCAAATGAAGACAATATGAAGAGAGACACATGGTTAACACCTCCAGAAGGGATGTATAGGTGCGGATCAATTGTAATAATTCATAAAATCTGTCTCATTTGCACACCCAAGTTTGGGAGAATAGGAGAGCATAAAAGTACGATTAAAAATCGAGTGTTTATCTCGTCAGTGGCCCAACATTTTATTGAAGCAGGACATCGGGTCTCACAACTACAATTTTTGGGCATAGAGCAGGTTAACGTCCAATCCAGAGGGGGTAACAGGTTCAAACTTCTAAGCCAAAGGGAGATGTATTGGATATTTAAGTTAGATACACTGTTTCCAAATGGCATGTATGATGAAAAGGATTTTGCCTGCTTTAGATGATATATTTAGTCTTTTTAACATTTTCTGCTGGAAAATCTATCTTTGTCTTTTTTTTTTTCTAGTTCTTACTTATTTTTTTTAAAACACTTTTATAGTTTTTCACACACGAGAAGGGTGACAGTGATCAGCAAGATCTGGAATAATAGGGAGTTCCTCAAGTTCAGTCTTAAAGAAACAGACAGACTCACAGTGGATATGACGATTTGTTTAGTTCATTTTTTGCTCTTTATTTTTTATATCTATTTTTTTTTTTTTTAAATGTACCCATACTATGAACTCAGTTTTGGCTATTGCTTGCCCTGTGTTCCTAGATTGGTTTATATCACTATACACATGTTTTTATTTTTTATTTTTTTTGTTATATATGGGGCCCCATATGTATATTATTTATATATGACTATATGCCAACACTGTTTATTCTACTGTTTACTAAATTGGTTAATTATGTAATAGTGTATTTATGACTTGCAGTCTGTTGAAACCATGTCATATATCATATTGTCTAATACTATACATCAGGGGTCCTCAAACTCCAGCCCCCCAGATGTTGCTGAACTACAACTCCCAAGATTCTTTGAATAGCCAGAGAATCATGGGAGTTGTAGTTCAGCAACATCTGGGGAGCCGGAGTTTGAGGACCCCTGCTATACATTGTGTATTATGGATCCAGTGTAATGTGGGGTATTGTGTACATTAGTGCTTGTTCACAACCTTGGGTAATTTGGTCTAGATTACGCAGATTCTGTGTATAGTATATATTTCCATGCACACAATACTTGCATGACGCGCTGCAGGGGACTTGGAATGAATTGGCCTACAGATAAATTTTATAAATAGCCGTTATGCAGTAAAACTATTTTTCCTTTTGACTTATATTAAATTTGGCAACTTCGTTCTCCTGTAGTAGCTCTGTACTTCCGGAACACGTGATCACGTTCATACGCAATGACGTTATTTGACGCATGTGCATCATGACATCATCAATACCCGGAAGTAGCCTCTGGCGTTATACAGAAGATTCCACACATCATTACACTAACAGCAAGTACCTCCCTTTAGCCAGCTGATTGTATTTAAGTTTATTAGTTTGAATTTACAGGGTATATAAGTGGGAACATAGATCAGTCAGTGAGAGGTCCCCCAGAGGAAGGCTTCAGAGCCGAAACGTCTGGGTTTTCATTTCTCATGCTCTTGGTCAGTATACCTTTTTAATGGGTGTTTACATTTAGGACTTTATTATTATTGTGGTATTGGTATTATAGATTGGATATGCACTACTTTATGCACTTTCTTTCTATCAAAACTTATTGATGTATTTTTCCAATGCATGAATAAATGCTTTTTTATTAGCATACCTTGGTGTGCCTTGGGATCATTATTATTTCTATTGTGTATATATATATATATATATATATATATATATATATATATATATATACGTTGTGGGAATGGATTTTTTCCTTAAAGAGCACCTAGTACTTTTTATATCACATCACTTCTCACCCACTTTCAGTTGAGCCTTTCCTTTAATTATATATTCGAACACAGAATCCTTGTCAGGGAAAGTTTTAGTTATGCATCCTATTGAAATGGTTTAGTTCATTGTAACAATATTGCCAAAAATACTAGAACAGAAAAAAGGAATACTAACAGGGCACATAAACAATACACCACAAAGCATTGACATGAACAAATATCACTTTCACATTTTTAGTTTGCCACCAGCAACTACATAACCGTTATTCTAAAACATCTACAAAGCCAACAAGTATTAAAACTCTCTTTGTTTTACAGAAGTCATCTCCCACAAGATTACATATATACTGAGATCCACTTTCTAGATATAATCATACCTTGCAGTTACATCACATATTTCCCAGAAGACAAGCAAGACAATGAAAAAAGGTTTAACCAGTTAAAGAAGATAGTCTGCTTTCAATTTCTCTGTTTTTACTAAGTTTGTTAGATGATTTTATTTCTCAAGACATTAGCATAAATTTCGTCTTAATCACATGCTCTATTATATAACTGTTTAATTTTGTATTGAATAAAGCAATGCTATTCCACTTACCACTTCACCCAATTGCATCTGTAATACGTAATTACCTAAATCAGAACCTCGGTGCTAAGCACCATAAGTTAGTTAATGTTTGAATATTATGCAATGTGTGCAATTCTATTTAAACCGTAATACCGGAAGTATACAAGTTTGTTTATGTTAGTCCTGACTAGTGATGTACCGAACGGTTCGCCAGCGAACGGTTCCTGGTGAACATAGCATGTTCGCGTTCGCCACGGCGGGCGAACATATGCGCGGTTCGACCCGCCCCCTATTCGTCATCATTGAGTAAACTTTGACCCTTTACCTCACAGTCAGCAGACACATTCCAGCCAATTAGCAGCACAGCCTCCCTAGCAGACCCTCCCACCTACTGGACAGCATCCATTTTAGATTCATTCTCAAGCTGCATGCTTAGTAAGAGGAGGGAAAGTGTAGCTGCTGTTCATAAGATAGGGAAAAGCATAGCTAGGTTAGGGATAAGGGTATGCTTTTTTTGGATTTTTTTTTTCTATGTAATGTAAATGCACTTAGTTGTCTGCCACTGCTGCCAGCTTCTGTGTCAGGCTCACAGTGCCCATTTCCCCAGTCAGTGCCACCAATTACATCTGGTGTCACAATAGCTTGGATTTAAAAACAAAAAACTTTTTTCACTGTTATAGATTGAATAGCAGTCAGTTGTCTGCCACTGCTGCCAGCTTCTGTGTCAGGCTCACAGTGCATACTGTGCCCATTTCCCCAGTCAGTGCCACCAATTACATCTGGTGTCACAATAGCTTGGATTTAAAAACAAAAAACTTTTTTCACTGTTATAGATTGAATAGCAGTCAGTTGTCTGCCACTGCTGCCAGCTTCTGTGTCAGGCTCACAGTGCATACTGTGCCCATTTCCCCAGTCAGTGCCACCAATTACATCTGGTGTCACAATAGCTTGGATTTAAAAACAAAAAACTTTTTTTACTGTTATAGATTGAATAGCAGTCAGTGTCCTTAAAGCGGGTGTGTTACGCTAACAGTGGATACGCTGACAAGTGCCACTAATTAGATCTGGTGTCACAATATAGTTTGGATTTAAAAAAAAAATAATCTTTTTTCACTGTTAT